CGTCTGAACTCACGCGTTTACTGATTCTGCTTAAATAACTCAAGAAGTTAGAATTACTAAGAGAATTTGTTTTTTTTTCTACAGCAGCGTGTATTTAATCTACCACGCAACTAATGTATATATATGAACAAGAGAAAAAATCAACATTTGAGTGTTGAATAGCTATAACAAGAATCACATAAGTTAAAAATTATTTTGCTTCTTGCCTGTTAAAATACTAAAAGTTGTAATTAGTGACGCTAAACGATCGGTCAAAATCTATTCGATCTACAGCGAAGTCAATGAACAAAAGCTTTTCTATAGATTTTTTTATTCTCCTTTGCGCTCGTACATTCTTAAAGAGTTGATAATAAAAGTATTCTTTTTGCAACAGACCGATTGCTTCTACCAAGTATGGTGAATGATTCTATCTGCAAACATCCATTAGTATAGTTTATCCAGTTGAGATAGTGAAAAAGTATCGTAGCAGTTAAATCTAATCTTTATTATCATTATAGTATTTATAAAGCTAACATAAGTAACTCAGCATTTTATGTGACTCGTATAATATTAGTGAAGTGTTGAAAGATTGATCCATCTGTCAATCACTTCAGTCCGCCTGCCTGCATAACCAATATCGATTAGGATAATCTATCGCAAGTTGCAATTCGCATACAACATTATGAGTATATATTGAGACTAACTTGAAGACGAATGCATATTCACACAAAAACGAAAGTAAGCACAAGCTCTTGGCTCCTGTTTTTTCCTTTTTCTTGGTGGCGCAGCTAATTTCGTTGTTACTATGACAAAATGGCGAACTATACAAGTTCCTACGATACTCTAGGTTTCTATAGAATGAACTGTTGAGGGTGTGGTTGTGGGTGTCGATGATTTTGAAGGATATTAACCCCACACTCACACCCACACTCACTCACACCTACACCCACACCCACCCACACCCATACCCACACCCTTCCGAATGTTACATATCTTAGCAAAATAAAAGAAAATCTCTTAGGAAGGTACGGCATCCTAGAACTAGTCGATCGAAAAAGGTTGGAAAACGAGATTTTTTAAACATCCATTTGCAATGTCAGAGGTGCTTTTGATTCCGATCAAAAACTTCGAGCACTTAAGTGCCTCTTTTAACTACCTTTGATCTCTGATCTGTCAGCCTGACTTCTAAAGTTTCGTTAGACGGACAAAATTGAAAAACTCTGCCTCATGTTTACACTCAATATTGTTTATCTCAAAAAATGAGTTCACTTAACTTGTTTCAAAACTATGTCGAAGTCACTTCAACTTGACAAATGTCTGCACTCGTCTATTTCTGTGTTAAGTTGATAAAGCGAAGAATACGCAAGATCCAGTTTATTATCCTTCAGGAAAAAATTAAAAAAATCATATAGATAATAATTCGATCATACATAAGCTTCAATATGAATCAAATGTTTTTTCTGTTCTTCGTTAAGTTCAACTTTTTCGACGCGGAACTGCGCACCCGCTCGTAGTAACACTTCTTGTTCTTCAGGAAATTGAGATAAAATCGCTATATCAACAGCTCGTCCGTCATTCGGATAGCGTTTTATCAAACGAATGATCATTAATACGTTCGTGTCGTAGAATTCTGCCACTTTTCTGCTTTTGCTCGTCGATGTAAACCCAAACCATCGAAATATACCCTTGTCAATAGCTTGCTGGTAATGTAAAATGTCCTCTGAGGAAAGATTAATACCGCGATAGACGACCATTTGATCCACATTAATAGGATATTTTTTAAAATTAAGGAAGAGTAATTTCAGATAAGGCCCAAGAGTCTCGACTTTACTAAAATCTTCACTGCACAAAAACGAGTTGAGACTATTATTGAGAAATGAGCTGCGCGTGTACTGGTGAATACATTGCAAACCAACTAAAGAGCTATCATTATTGGCAACTTGTTCTAATTCTTTAGCAATATAATCAGCTTCAATGAGTTTGCCAATCAGTCTTCCTTCACAAAGAATACCACTTGCAACGGCAGAAATATTAGCATCTAACGATAAACACTTGGTAATGATAGCAGTTTCATCACCGTATGTGTCGCTGTAGAATGCAGGATTTTCTGTCGATTGCTGTGCGGCGTACCACTCTGCACGAACTTTTGCTTTGTGTTCACGGTTAACAGAGCGGATAACAGGCGTCTGAGTACCGTCTATTTTATCCAACTTCCAACCTCGATCGAAATCTACAGTACAGTGATCTAGTTCGACTCTTTTCTCGTTATTCAAATAAGCGTTGTCAAGAATGGCTACTTCGATATCCCAGAACCATTTCCATAGATTTTTTCCTGATGATTTAGTCATCCATAACCATATGGCTCGTTCAGCAGTTGCCGTTTCTGATAGACTGACTTGCTCCAAATTGTTTGGAATCTTTTGAAGACGGAAAACTGTTTCTACATGAATTCTAGTCATACTTTTCTTACCTTTTCTGGTTCAAATGGTGCTCCAGATGATATGGGGTAAGCCGAAGCTTCAGGTATGGAAGATCGAACATCTTCGGTAGCAAACTTTTTGACCCACTCTTTTGCTTTCTTGAAGAATTCTTTCCGATCTTCTTTGAAAAGAAACGCTGGTTCCGGGTGGATAAAATCATCAAAGTTGGGATTGGCGAGTAGCTTTTCAATGTTCTTCAAAATTATTCGTACGCTACGAGAAGGATTCCACTCTCTATCCATAATTATATCGAAACAAATATTTCCATTAAGATTAATGTTAGGATGGAAAATCTTAGTATTAAAAACTATGTTTGGTGGTTTGAACGGAAAGTCGGGAGGAAAGGTCAGTGTCAAGTAGAAACGGCCCCCTTCGTACGTAGTGCCAACAGGACCTTCCACAATGAGTTTCCATCGATACAAATCATGAGAATCATAGGGCTCAACAGACCAGCCAGGTTCAACGACTGTTTGTAATGAAACCAATTCAGCATGGATTCGTTTTAATATCCGATGATATTGTGGATTAATAACATGACCTACAATTGGAAGGAATTTTATGTTTTTATTCTTGTTATTCATCCTAAAACCATCACTTAATTCATTTGTCCATGCTTATTAGTAGGGGCCATTTTATTTCTTTTGATACAGAAAAAGCCATGACCTTATTCATGTAGAGAGATGTCATAATATTGAAATACTGAATATTGACGAGTTTTCGTCAACATATTGAAAAGAGTAATATCTGCATCATCTTACATACTCACGCAAGACACCTTGCGACAGTAAGTCTCTTTTATATAATAACGTATTACTTATAAATTAATCTGATGAGCACCATATAACGCTTACGATTCTAAGTATCCATATCGCTAAAAAGAGCCGAAAATTGTTGGTCAATCGGATGCTTAACTCTTTCGACGCTTCAATCCTGTGCGATTCTTTTTGCTAATTTTCTCAGCTCTAACTGAAAAAAATATGTTTTAAATGTTAGACATTAATCAAATTCAAGTTACCATCACTCTCTCTTATACAGGGTGTCCCAAAAGTAATGATCACTTAAGAAATTCATTTATCTCCCTTATTAATCAAGCAATATCATTAACTTTTGTTTTTATTTTGTAGAGGAGAGTAGCAAGTTTTTGTTCATACGAATGCAGTTTATAAATACTGCTCAAAAGTATTGCCTTTGACATCAATGCAAAAATGTAGACTTAGCAGTTTCTAGAAAAAACACATGATGAATAGTTTCTTTTTTAATTAATTCGATTTCTCAGATTGTTGTATTCTTCAAATTATCGAGATTTTTAAGTTTTGTTTTGTAGACATTTGTTTTGAGATGTTCTCACAAAACGAAGTCTAATGCAGCTAAATCAGATCAGCGAGGAGCCCATAATATTTGTCCCCCTCTTCTAATTAATCTGTTGTTGAAAACTTTGTTTAGCCAAATACGAACTGCCTTTGAGAATTATGAGGGTACTCCATCTATCTAAAAAAACTATCGTTTGTTATTTGCTCGTTAAAAGTCGTTAATTCTTCATTCGAAATAGTACACTGGTTAATAAAAACTCTAATAATTTGAACAAACTATTACACGAAAAATAGCTTACACTTTACAACTAAAAATACGAATAGTGATTTTGATGGTTCGGTTGAAGTCTCATGTTTCGGTTCGACGTAAATTACAATTAGAAAATACAGAAGATGTACCAATCGTACTTACTATCAAACGAATTTATAACAAGATTCTTGAAACAGGTTCAGTAGAAGATCGTGATCAATCAGGAAGACCAGTTTCAGCAACAACAGACAAGATAACTGAAATTTCTGAAGTTTTAACAGCAACGCCTATCACTAGCGTTCGTCAAATTTCTCAAGAAGTAAACCTCTCAAATTCAGTGGTTCATTGTACAGTGCGTCATGTTTTTAAATACAAGCCATACAAAATGCATTTAATACAAAAATTATATGATGAAGATTAAGATTCACATGTTGAAATGTGCGAATTATTAGTACCAAGTTTTGAAGATGAAAGTAATGATGATTTTGTTTTCTTCTCAGTACGAGGCTAATTTTCATGTTTCTGGGATGGTCAACAAACATAACTGTCGCATATGGTTGGAAAAGAATTCATTCGTTACCATGGTTGTTGCAATGAATTTCCCCGAAACTCACAGTCTGATGTACAATGTCAAATAAACAAAGTATTGGACCTTTTTTTTTGATGATGCCATAGTTAATCAACACAGTTATCTTGACATGTTGCAGAATTATTTTCATCCGATTGTACAGAGAAAACGCCTGATCAAATCAATAATTTTTCAACAAGACGGAGCGTTCCTACATTTCTCAAAGGCAGTTCGTATTTGGCTGAACAAAGTTTTCAACAACAGATTGATTAAAAGAGGGGGACAAATATTATGGGCTCCTCGCTGATCTGATTTAGCTGCATTAGACTTCGTTTTGTGAGAACATCTCAAAACAAATGTCTACAACACAAAA